TTGCCATTGTTCGTATGAAAAAGGGAGGCAAGAGATTTGAGATTGCCTGCTACAAGAACAAGGTCGTATCTTGGAGAAACAAAGTGTTAGTCATTAATTATGATTTGTGATAAATTAAAATGTTAACGTATTGTAATTTTACTACAACATTAATGAATAAATTGTACTTAATTAATAAATTGTATGCATATGAATTAATCAGCTGTTGTATCATTGTCACTACTCTTTATTCCAGTGAGAAGGATATTGATGAAGTCTTGCAGACTCATACTGTGTTTAATAATGTGTCAAAGGGGCAGGTGGCAAAGAGAGACGATCTTGTCTCTGCGTTTGGTACTGAAGATCAAACGGAAATTTGTAAAACTGTACGTTACCCAAAGAGGTGAACTGTTAAGTGATTTGGTTGTGCTCAAAATTTTACTATGAATGCCCATAAAAATTTTAATGTCATTAATGTACATGCAAGTCAGAAATTAGTAATAGTACTACAAACATCCTCATACTTCTCTCCCTCTCTCTTTTTCCATCAGATATTAAGCAAAGGCGAGTTACAGATATCAGAAAGAGAGCGTCAGTCTCAATTAGAATCATTATTTCGTGATATATCAACCATTGTTGCCGATAAATGCGTCAATCCAGACACCAAGAGACCCTATACTGTAGGGATGATTGAGAGGGCCATGAAGGACGTACATTATGCTGTTAAACCGACCAGAAGTGCCAAGCAACAGGTAAAGGATAAATAGCAGTACAGTATAGCCTCTCTTAATGGACACTCTCTATAGCGTACACCTCCATTTAACGGACAGCACCTAGTGTACCAATTACATTCCTTATTGTATAAAATAACCTCCACATAAAGGACGCCTCTGTATGACAGACAAACTTTCCTATTCAAAATGTCTTATCTGTATTCTATTGCCCGAGTTTCTCTCTTTTAAGTTCTTCTCTCTCCCTCTCTCTTCATTAGTCTTTAGATGTCATTAGGTTATTAAAAGATCACATGCCTCTGGAGAGGGCAAGGATGAGACTCAAGTTAGTCCTACCAGTTAAAGAAGCAAGGAAAGTAAGAGAGAAGATAGTTGGTCTATTAGCCAGTGTGGAGCAAGAGGACTGGAGACCACAGTTAGAAATTGTAAGTTAACAATGCAGATTTCATTTTTAATAAAATTATTAATGATTTATGTGTGTTTAGGTATGTCTGATTGATCCTGGAAGATTTCGAGAGATCGATGAGATAGTGAGAGGAGACACTAAAGGTAATTTGAAGTTCTATTGTGATAACCTTTGATTTATTTATTCTTTATTTTTATAAAGGTAGTGGAATTGTTGAAGTATTAAATTTGAAAGATGTTGAAGAAGGTGATGAAACTTTGCAATAACAATCTAATTATTATATTATTATTTTAATTATTATTATTTGTTTTTCATTTATATTCAGCAAATTATCAATGCAATATTTATTATTCAGCAAGTCAATGAATTAATAACAGTGATATTACATCACTTTAAAGCTGCCATTTGTTTATCAAATTCCTCCTTTATCTCACTCAGCAATTTCTCCCCTCCCTTCAACACATCAACACAAGTCATGCCCAGAGTTGTTGCAACCAGTAAAGTCTTAGCGTGAGACTCTAGAGTGTTAGCCACGCCCGCAAATGGAGGACTATGAGTTGCCACTTTCCCTCCACCCACGCAGTAACGAGGATGAAGCCCGGGGACTTCTTGCGAAAAATTACCAAAATCAGTCGAAGCCGTCAAATCGCCAGAGTACTCATAATCAGTCACGCCCAACTGGCGATAGTTTTGCTCGTACATTTTCCCAAGAATTGGGTTACAGACGACGTTCTTGTATATTTTCCCGACAGGTTCTGTCTTCATTGTGCACCCGGTTGCAGTCGCTGCAGCCTCAAAGCACAAGACCACTTTAGCTCTTAGTGTCTCCAACTCGCTGCTCGTCGGAGCTCTCAC